CACACACACACACACACACACATATTCTGGGCACTACAGTCAGACCATGTCCCCACCACACACACACAGACTGGACACCACAGTCAGACCATGTCCCTAACACACACACACACACATACACACACACACACACACACACACACACACACACACACACAGACTGGGCACCACAGTCAGACCATGTCCCCACCACACACACACAGACTGGACACCACAGGCACTTCATGTCCCCTGACACACTCATACTAAAGTTACCGGGGACAGGGACACTTTTCCACCCCTCCTGGCTGGACCCCCCCCCCCCACCAACTCTGGGCGAGGCTGTACATCACTTTAACCTCTGGGGCCCTGACAAGCCGCTCGGCTGAGATTAAGACCTATATCCAAAAGGTACCACCCTTGCCATTCTGTACCCTCCTTGCCATCGTGGGGATCCCCTAGAGTAACCAGCAGAACCGCTGTCCCCATCATCTATCCAAGCTCTCCACTGCTGTGTGAAGTCATTCTGGCCAGACTGCAAAACCTAAATCAGCTCAGTCTCTTCCTAAAGGACTACCAAACCTTGAGCTAGGTCAACCGGGGATGTTTTCAGCCATTCCACTTTGGGGTTGGGGTGTTAACAGCAATTGAGACAAACTCCCTAAGTCTCGGCTCCTCTGGTCACACAACTGAGGCACTGAATGTGTTTCCTAGGAGGGTGGCTGTAAGGTGAAGGGAGGCCATTCTTGGCATGCTGGGTAGGGCAGATCCTTGGCGTTGTCGAATGTAGGCTATGATATGTATTGTGATAGAGGGCTTGCCTGGCATGCATAAGGCCCTGGGTTTGCTCCATAGCACCTCACAAACCATGCAAGACAGTGCATACCTGTCATTCTAGAACCCAGGACAGAGAGGCAGGAAGGGGCAGAAGCTCAGAAGTATGGACCATCTTCTGCTTCATAGTAAATTCAAAACCATCTTGGGCTACCTGAGATCCTGTCCCTCAGAAACAAAATTAAATAAATTACACCACGGCTTAAAGCAACGGTGACCAGCACTTCTAAGTTTCCGAGTTGTACATACAAGTGTTCAACACATAAGAAATACAAGCTTCAACATTTACAGTGTGGTCAGACCAAATACAAACAACGACCAAGAGACCCTCTAACATCATCCTCCCATCCTCTCAAGCCCGCTGAAACCAGGGTGATGAAGGACTATTGATGGGCACATCTGGCACATTTCCTATGCTCCAGCTCTGAACATGGATGGCAAGGGAGGCTGACATCATCCGTAGGAGAGCTGGGTACCCAGGCCTCCTGTGCGTCTACAAAACCACAGACCAGGAGGCTGTGGGCAGCAGCACGCAGGCGCAGTTCCACACACCCACTCCACACAGGTCGGGAAAATTGGTAAGTGTGTGACCCATGGTTTTCCAACAAAATGCACTACAGGCCCAACCAACTGAAATACCTGTAGGATGCTTTGTGAACAGCACTGGGGGGAACTAGAAGGAACCTGCCATAATCTACAACTTAAATCAAGGGTGAGACAGCAGTGGCTGTCTGAGGATAGCACATCTGGATGGTGAGATTCTCAGACGGTTCCTCCCCACCTGCCACAGACCCTCCACTCTACTCCACCAGTGAGGCTCGAACCACAGAGAACTATCTAGCGGATAGAAAACAAGAGAAAGAGAGAAAACAAACCCAACGGGCACCTCGCCATGTGTAGCCGAGGAATGAGTATGAGCTGGAGAGAATGCAGCCTTCCTGACGCCTACATCAGAGGGCTTCCTGCTCTCTAAGCCAGTCAGCAGAGTGCCACAGACTAAGCGGAACAAAGGGGGGCGGTAAATCAAGATCGACCGATAGGGCGAAATCATGGTGGTGGGGGAAGTTGGAGAGAAGAGAGACAGACACACAGAGGCAGAGAGAATTGGGGTGCTCTCCCACAACAGGGCCCATTTTGCAGCGGGCATTGAGAGATAATTTAGGGAACCAGAGTGTGGCTGGGAATGACAGGAGGGGAGGCTGAGGCCCTACAGAGTGTCTTTTCAGTATTGAAAGAAGCTGAGAAATCTCCCTGTCCTAAGCACTATTGTAAGGGGCGCCAGGGAGGTCTCTCTTTGGATGAACGGGCTTTGAACATGCTCTTCCGGTGCCTGGGGGATTCTAACTTCCATCGGAATGATGTTCATTCAGGAAGTGTTTATTAAGCCTAGGAAAGAGTGTGTTTCACTGAAAGAAAGGGAAAGGAGCTGGGATTGTGGTCCAGTGACAGGAGATGGGAATGTGAGGGTGGAGTCCAGGAGACCACATGGGGGGGGGAGGGCAGGGCATCCTCAAGAAAGTGGCCTGAGAGCTGCTGGGGCAACGGTGGGAGACAAGGAGAGAACACTTTGTGTTCCAGGAGAAGGGGATAGAGTAACTGAGGGGAGAAGCCCCTCATCGATAGCTGAGAACTAGGAGTTTCCTGGAGAAGTATCGATATGCCATTGGGGGAGCCACCACAAGACCTGACCTGCTAGAACAGTGGTTCTCAACCTATGGGTCACGACCCCTGGGGGGTCAAACAACCCTTTTGTAGGGGTCTCCTAAGACCATTGGCAGACACAGTTGTTTACATTATGATTCAGAAAAGTAGTAAAATTACAGTTATGAAGTAGCAATGAAAATAATTTTACGATTGGGGGTCACCACAACATGAGGAACTGTATTAAAGGGTTGCAAAGCATTAGGGAGGTTGAGAACCACTGCTCTAGAAACTTCCATATGATTTTCCAAAAAAGTCTCACAAATGTGCCAAGGTAAGACCCGCATCACCCTCGGGGTTAAAGTAGGGAGAATTGGGTGTGTTTGCGATGAAACTGACAGGCCTGTGCACAGACTCTTAATTTTAAGTTCAGTGAAGTCTTTCCAGGGTCCTGGTGAGATGCAATTCAGATAGCCAGAGTCAGAAGGAGAAGTTGGGGTGCCCAGTGAGGCCTACCAAAGCACCGGGTACATTGCAGCGGGTCCCACACATTGCCAGGATACCAGAGTTACACAGCTAGCCAGCCAGAATTCTGGTCAACAGCACTCCAGAGCCTGGGAAGCCACAAGTGCCTGAGGGGACAGTAACTGCAGCTCTGTTCAGTGTGTGTCATATAAAAAGGTACAGAAAGCTTTCTGTTTTCAGAGTGGGGTGTGTTTCCATCTTGGAAGAAACAATTATCTACTCTACCGTAATGTCTGTGGATTTTCTCATCAGTACCTGCACATCACACTGTGGTAAAGGGACAGCATGCAGACCTCAAGCATTTTGAGTGGGGAGGTTGAGAAGTCAGGACGGAAGTCAGGTGAGACAAGCATGGATTCCATGCTAGCTGTCTGTCTGGAATCTGGGATCCTACCGGTCTGGTCTGGAAGTTCTGCTGGAATCCCTCCAGGAGGATGGTATGTCCTTCTCCTCTCCTGTGGTTTGCAGGGGGAACCTCGCTGTAACTATCTTCCGGGATCCAGGGTTAGCGGAGAGGAGTTGCACATGGGCCTCAGGGACATCAGGTAGAGATGGAAGGCTTTGGCTTGAGTTGGTTAATTATCTTCAGGGAGAAGCCTCGTATTTCCTGACGCCCAGAATCTTTATAAAACAATGGAGCAAGAGAAACCATCTGGTGGATTCTGTGTGGCCCTAATAATACTGGTCATTTGTAGCCAGAGTTTTCCTGCCTGGCCCACAGTCAGGACAAATCTTTGTCACCTGCCAGTCCCACAGCCGCTCAGACCCAACCAAGTAAACACAGAGACTTATATTGCTTACAAACTGTATGGCCATGGCAGGCTTCTTGCTAACTGTTCTTATAGCTTAAATTAATCCATCTCCATAAATCTACACCTTGCCACGTGGCTGGTGGCTTACCGACGTCTTCACATGCTGCTGGTCATGGAGGCGGCTGGCAGTGACTCCTTCTGCCTTCCTGTTCTTTCTTTTCTCCTCTCTGTTAGTCCCGCCTATACTTCCTGCCTAGCCACTGGCCAATCAGGTTTTATTTATTGACCAATCAGAGCAATTTGACATACAGACCATCCCACAGCAGTCATTCACACCACATTTCACAGAATTAAACGATAGAGAATGCCAGCAGTGTGGCTCCCTCAAGAACAAAGCTGGGGACAGACTCGTTGAACCATGTCCCCTAAGGGACAATCTTGGACACTCTCTTCTAAAAGCTACTAGGGAACAGGTCAATACTTGTTTTCTAGACTAAAAACTGCTTCTTACATTGAAGCATTTTCATTGATACAAGAATTAAGAACCCACAACAGAGAAATGGCAAGATTGAATCAGGCAAGGGAGGCTAGTGACTAAAATGTAATCCAAACAGTTCAAGCCATGTAGATATTTTAAATAAAAATGAATACCTTTCCCATGAAAGTTCGTGTGTTTTCTAGTGAAATTCCCCATTATCTTATCACGCTTGTGAAGCAGTTATGCAGCTAACCACAACCCTCATGATTATGCACCTAACCACAACCCCTCCTGAAGACATTTTAAGCAAGAAACCATCATAATAGTAAACACAAGGATGCCTTTTTGGTTTTCTGGGAGTAGCTGGACCTAACACCTGGATGAGGATTTCTCCTCTACACAGAACAGGAACTTGATTCACCCACAAGTTGAAAATCTGGGCAATTCTTAAGTCATGTTTCCCAAAACTGCAAGTTGTTAAAGAATGTGCTTGAACACTAAGGAGAAATGATCTTTATAAAATATGAATGAATCCAGGTCTGATGGAAAGCACTGATAAAACAAAAAACTTACAAAATATAAAAAATAAACAAAGACACCAATGAGTAATCAAAAAATAATAACCAGAAGACACAAACAAAAAACTGGAAAATGGTAAAAGTCCATAGTCAAATCTGTTAAACTGATGACAGACATAATTCATCATCCCCAGAAACCTTTTTTGATTACAGTATCTAACATTTTGCCTCCTCTTTTTTGGTTTTGCTGGTTATAAAGGTTTGGATTGGAGAGGGCTCACTGGATCCCAATCCTTGGAGCTGGATCACTGGATTCAACTCAGGACATGGGTAGCACAGGGAGGATGAGTTACCAGGATTCATGAAGCGGGATCAGATTACCGGGAACACACGAGTGGATTCCTTCTGCCCCAACCAAACCACATTCGTGCGGATTTTTTTTTCTTTCAACTTAATTGGCTATTCCAAAGAGGTTTTTTTTTTTTTTAATTTTTGATGATTGGAGCCCTTAAGATGCACGATGGAATTATGGAATTATATAGTTTGCATCTTTTGGCAAGAGGAGTAAAGTAAGGACCTGGAGATATACGCTGGAGCGATCTCCTTGGAAGGATTCAGCACGAGCAAATAGTAAACGCTTAAAGGGAAAAGGTGTGTGTGGTAGGGGAGGTGTTTAAAATAGTAAATCAGTAAGTCACTTCCAAATTTAAAGAAAACAAAACTGGAGTTGAAGAATAAGTAGGTTTCTAATTGGCTAGTGCCATTTTTCTTTGAAAAATAAACATTTTTTTAAATGGAAAAAAAAAGTCCATAGTCAAACCGATTGAGAAAGAGGAATTATTTGAAAATGTTTCTCTTGGCCAACCCTGAAAGGTTCAATGACATTCAGAAGTTGCATTTCATTGTACTGAATCCACCATTTCTGACATTTACCAGAGCGAAAGCCGCTTTATACATGACTATTATCCACATAAAAAATATGTTCCTAGGAATCACTAACTAGCCAAGCCAGTGGTGATTTAAATGGCTAATGTTTTTTCTTTCTCAGTAAGCTTCCGAAGGGAAAGGATGTGTTCTTTGGAAAAAATAATCTGAGATTATATCGATTCCCGCTGTCACCTGAAGACTGCCATCCACTGTTCCCGGTGCTGGTTGGGCTGCGGCCTGCTGGACTCCAGTCTTTGGGAAGGGCCTTTGTCTCCAGTGGGAAGTCAAGCCCCCAGCACCTCCAGCAGGGGGCTCTGTCCCCCAGCACAGACTCTGACACACTTGACAGTTCAAGGTTAAGATGGCTGCACAAACAAGTCAGGGACATTACACATCCGGCCACTAGGACGAGGCAGCAAAAAAAAAAAAAAAAAAAAAAAAAAAGTGTAATCATAGTTCAGGAATGTTGTCCTGAGGAAAATCTGTGCTGAAATCTTATTATTCGGGGGTGGGGAGGAATCTGCAAAGAGAAAAAAAAGAGTGTTTTTATAAAATAATTATCAAATTATAGAGCTCACATTAAAAATACTGAAAGATTTGATGGGTTCCCTAAATGGTTGACAACTCACAACTGTCAATGTTCCATTAAAGAAAATAGTGTGGAAAAAAGAAAATGTGAAGGTAAATGGAAATGAATTACCTCTCCTGAGATGACGGACTGAATTTTGCAAAAGCAATTTCTACAATTAGGGGAGTGGTGGTGTTTGGAGGGAGCAGTGTTTTGGCGAAACCTACAATCTAGATTATTTTCCCTTGAACTCTTTCATTTTCATTCCCCACCCTATCTCCCTGGAAAGGGACCAAACCAAAAAGCCCTTTAAATGCTTACGATCTGAACTGTAACTAAATACAAATATTTGGTTCAAAGTTTAAGCAGCACCACTCTAAGCAAGAATGATCAGAAAGATGAGCGAGAAGCCGTGCCAGACGGGCTGAGCAACAGAAAGTTGACACAGGCCACTCGCTTCTTGCTCTTGCTTTATCGTAGGGGACAGTGGCTTCTAGAAGGGCTCGGATTCCCACTGGGAAAGCAGTGTGTTGGCTGACAGGGGCAAGTGGCCTGTGAAGGATGGCATTTGTAAGAGAGTGGAACAACGTATTCCCTTCCAAGCCCTAAGAGGCTTTATGTGTGACACACAGAAATACAGGCACATGAAGCATGCCATGAGGGCTACTGTCAAGCCAGGGCCATTCCTTTATTGAAACACCAGAACTGCCTCTATAAATAAAACAAATAGTCTAGGCTCAAGTTTCCACACCATCATGTGCTGAGGATTCTAAGAATGCGAATTATTTTATCTCACATTGTGAGGGCGCACTTTAAAAAAAAAAAAATCAACATTGTGTGAAGAGGTGGTTGTCGTCTCTTAGGTTGTATTTGTATTAACTTTTCACTTTCCCCGGGAATGCGGCCGGCGGCGGAATGAGCCCCAGGTGCTCCCTGTGAACTGCCCGCTGAGGGCAAGTGTGGAGAGAACACTATGTAATGTAAGCACACGGTATGCTACAAGGGCGGCATTCACAGGGCCTCCTTCTCGGCCCTGCCTTTTCACCGGGAATGTGATTTCAACAGAGGCACGCCGCCGAGGAATGTCCACTCCTCCAAGGCATACCTCACCCAAGCAAGGCCACATGGGAGCTATTTCTAGCAGCTAATTATGAGGTACTGGAATAACAACCCTCGATAAAGGGAAGAGTTGAGATAGCCACAGAGCTCATGCAAAGAGCATGCTTGCCACTTGCCAGCCCCTAGCTGACCAAACCCAGCTGGGGAGGCTGGAGGAGGGGAGACCAAGCCTGCCTCTCTAAAGTTTACAGCTCACTTGTAGGAACCCCCCACCCCTCCCCAGGAACTCAAAGCAAACAACTGTTCCAGAGACTCTGCAGCACAGACATTTCCAGTAGAAAGTGCCCTAAATGTCAGCCCAGGAGAGAAACAAGCTGACAAAATTTAACAACAGACTTTGGGGAACTACAGTCCTGATGTGTAGGATCCACAAATCCTGGCTCCACTGTGGCGGAGTCACCCAGTATGAGGCCCCTGGACGGTGACGGAGCTGCTGTGTTGTTTAAGCAAATGGCTCTTGGAATGAGATCCACACGTAGCTAGCTGGTGAAGCCAGAGAGGCCTGAGAGAGGCAGATCTCCATGACTAGACAGGTTTGCACACTTCGGGTGCAGGGCACTTTGTCAGAACCCAGAGCAACCTGACTAAGGGGCTTGAGTTCAGCCATCTCTCAGCATGCATTAGGATTTGTTTAAACAGCATGGCCATGCATTTGGGGGTGGTTAACTGCCCCCACAAGCAAAGTAATTGTGTATTTAAATTTTAGGATTCTTAGAAATAACCTTCCTATGGTTACTCAACGCACGTGCGCGCACACGCACCCACACACACACACATAAAGGCTCCTGCAATCATTTCTAGCCTTCTGGGGCCACTCTGCAGGGGTGCAGAGGCCATGAGTCCTAGCTGTTTGGTGTAACCGAGATGATGTGTGGTCTGTGAAATTTCAATCCCCTTCACTCCCTCTTTCACGGGCCCTGGAGTCCTCCTGTTTGTAACCTCACTCCCCACATTGTCCTCACCGCTTTACCATCTCTGGCTCAAAACCTCCACAGTGAGCGCCTGGGACCCACGGCAGGAGAAATATTATCTGGATCAGGGAGGGAAGGACAGAAGGGACCGTAAGAGACCCCAGCGCCCGCCTTCTGGCCCAGAGTCATTCCATTTCCAAAAGCGACCCTCAGCCCGAGTAAGCGCCATGTCTCGGCAGCTGCCATCTTCTCTCTCATTGCCGTGGAAAAGTGGAATTTCTTCTCAAGGCCCAAAGCCATAAATCTCCCATGTGGCCACATGAACTTCAAAGCATTTAAATTTCTTATGGATTTTACACGATTAAATGTGTGGCCTACTGAATATTGCATATGAGGGTACAGAAAGACATACCACTGAGAAAGGCATCCATAATGGCTTTGGGGTACAATACTGAGTGATTGGTTAGGGCAGCAAACCCTTGCTATTATACTTTTAAATTTTTTAGTTTATATAATCAGGATTATAGTCACCACTGACAGAAAAAAATGCATAATAATCTATCTCCAAATTATGAGCATTTTAGTTATGCTAACCTGAAAACCTGTAACTTCCCAATTCGTTATTTATTATGAGTGTTCCTGGGTCTATTTTGTCATTTTAGACAAAAGGGTGAAGGGAAATAATTCAGCTGATCTCTTCTCTTTGTGCCTCTGAGGCTGCCCCATGCTCTTAAACACACTGTGTGCTGGGGGAAAGGGCCGTACGTCGCAAACATCCTGAACACGCCCGAACCACGCATTCCCATTCTGAACACGCCCGAACCACGCATTCCCATTCTGAACACACCCGAACCACGCATTCCCTTTCGATCTGAGAACTCGGCAAACACAGGGTCAACAATTTCGTGAATTTCAACAATTTAAGAACAAAATACAAATATGACGAAAAAGCTTAGAAAGTGTTGCAGTGGTCTATGTGCTCCAAGGAAAGAGAAGGTGGCTACAAAAAAGACTAAAATAAACTCTAGGGAAAAGGCAATTAGCCAGCTAAGTACCATAGAATTAATAAGGCTAATAAAATATCAAAAACACGGTCAAAGGGAACAAGCCAAGAACCAAAACATCTAAGCATGCGCTTGGGAAAGAAGAAAGTCAAAATTAGATAATTAGATGGATGGAAAACCATCTTACTGCGCTTTTCCTTAATTTTAGCTACAATTTAAATCACTAGTGAAACTATGCCATTCCAGGCAAGGACCTGCCTGTCATAAATGAATATAGAACTTCCCAGTAGCCTGAGAAGATCTTAAGGGGAAAAAAACAAAACTACAAGCACTGGCGGACAAATGTTCGGCACGTTGCTTCACCTCCAAGTGACCGGCAGTGGACAGGCTGTTGTTACCTCTGAGGAGACACACTAAGATGGGCTCACTCTTAAGACTTTGAGCATCTAAATGTGGACTCCACCACGAGGAAGGCACCCCCACACGACTCTTTGGCTTCTCACTGCACACACCGCAGACATTGCACCTTCAAAAACTCCGAACAGAGGGGCCTTTCTGGCTATGTTGAGAATGAAGATGGGAGCCAGTGGTCTCTGGTTCTCTTCTGTGATACATTTCCCCAATGCTTGGTAGTTTCATGCAAATGCAGTCTGTTAAACACAGTTCCCAAGGAATGGGGGGAAAGACCACATTATCAACTAGTGAGTGGCTAATGTTGTTCTCTGGTTGTGCTTTGCCTCTGTAAATCAGTCACAGATCTAGAAAATTCTAGTACCTAAAAGGCAGTCCTGGGTGTGTGGGGGGAAGTGCTAGAAAAGGAGGTTTGATTGTTCTGAGGCTGTGGCCTGCTTTAGCCTGGGGTTTACTTAATCCAGGTGAAACCCTTGGCCAGGGTGGATTGGACTCACCGCAAAGGCAGAAGGTTCTGGATGAACTGATGTAAAGGTTAGTGTACCTGGCCTCAGATAATACCCAATAATTAATTGTTCCCTCTGTCTAGGGCTAAGGATCATGGAGATTGCTATTTATGCTCTAGCAAGAGAGCATGTGAGTGGCTTTTTTAAAATTTTTTTCCAAGGGTGTTTTTCCTGTAGGTAATGTCTGTGGACCATGTGTGTACAGTGTCCCTGAAGGCCAAAAGAGGGTGTTGGTTCCCCCTGGAACTGTAGTTACAGATGGATGTGAGCTGCCGTGTGGATGCTGGGATTCAAACTCGGGTCCTCTGGAAGAACAGCCCACGCTCCTAGCCCCTGAGCCGTCTCTCCAGCCCAGAGCATACAGTCTGGTAGTGTGTGGCTCAGCTTGGAACCTGATCTCATAAAGTCAAAATGGTCCCTATAGGTAAGACGAATTGCTAAACGGTCTTATTAATTGAAAAAACAAAAACAAAAACCCGGAGCCAGATATTGGGGTTAAAAACTGAGAAATCAGAGGAACAGGACAAGCCACAGCCAACCTCACCTCACCAACTCCTCAGCCTCCAAAGAGACCTACTTCCTGTATACCCACGCCTATATACCTTTCTGTCCCTGCCATCTCACTTCCTCTCTCTGCCCAGCTACATCATTTCCTCTTTCTGCCCAGCTCTGTCACTTCCTCTCTGTCTACACAGACCTCCAGACCTTTATGGTTAACTAGTGTTGGAATTAAAGGCATGTGCCACCACGCCTGACTCTGTTCCCAGTGTGGCCTTGAACTCACAGAGATTCGGATGGATCTCTGCCTCCCAAATGCTAGGATTAAAGGTGTGTTCTACCATTGCCTAACTTCTATGTTTACTATAGTGGCTGGCTTTTCCCTCTGATCCTCAGATAAGCTTTATTGGGGTACACAGATAAAATAACACCCCACCAATACGATGCTGCCGCTGTTGGCACGATAATGAGTTAGGTCCATAGGTACCTCTCAACTGGCCATCCTGACATCATTGCTCCATTCCTGGCCTTCACCTCCATCAACCATCCTGACCATGCCACCTTCCTAGAGAAAACCCTCAGGAGGCTTCAGTGCTTCGTCTAGAGGGAAATGTAACTAACCATAATGAAGCTTGGGCTCATCTATGGACACATGCTCTTCAACCTCATGGGTTGCTGCACCCCACTTACTCCTGGGCCCTAAAACCTCGGGCCCTGCAGTGCCACAAACCCAGTGTGTACCCACCTCATAAAGTTCTGGGCCACCAGGCACTTCTGACCCTCTGTCTTAAGCCCTCACCTTTTCCTCCTTCTAAATGTCACCTCCTTTTACCTTGGCATTTATTCATTAGGTACAATTAATCTCACCCTTCTGTGCTCCTTGAAGCCTTTTAATGCTGTGGAGACGCTGTGAATAGAGGAGCTCCCTTTCCGTGCGGAGGTCTAGAGCACACCGCGGTGATATCCGTCACGGCATGTCTGTCTGCAGGTGGACCGTGCTCTTCAATAGGTAGAGACAGGTGCTTGTTTTCTCCTGTTCTCCAAACCTCCTGCACAGAAAGTCCTTAGTGGCGCCTGTGAACAGAACAGAATGATGCTCACGGGTTTGCAAGGGTGATTAAGGCCAGGGCTGCTCCACTTCACAGCACCCAGGGCGGACCTCACCCCATGTCTTTCAGGGAGTTTGCGGGCCCATCCATGGTAGATGCAAAGACACTACCAATCCTTTCAAAAGGCCCGAGGGAGCAGCTTCCTTTCTGCACCCTGGGTAAGTGCATCAACAAGGAGAGCTCTGGAGATGGCTGCTCAAGATTCACAGCTCGTCATTATTCTTAGACTCACTTCTTTACACGAGACGAACAAACAAAAACCCCACGTTAAAAGCAGCGCTCATTTAGCCGCTGTTACAGTCGGCTGCTCTATTCCTGTGAGAAACACAGACCTAAACCAACTTGCAGAGGAAATGGGCTTCTTGGCTTCCAGTCCATCGCCAAGGGAAGGCATGGCAGGAACTCACGCAGGAACAGAAGCAGGAACCATAGTTAGGACCACTTGTGGGCTTGCCCCCCCCCATGGCTTGCTCAGTTTGTGTATGTAACCCAGGCCCACCTCCAGGGTGTGGCCTCACCACCACAGTGGGCTGGGTCCTTTCACGTGAAAAGCCCCACAGACATGCCTAGAGGCCAGTCTAGTGGAGGCAATTCCGGGAGGTTCCCTCCTTTCAGGCGATTATTGCCGGTGTCAAGTTGGCCAAAGCCTCAGCGGCACACCGGGCTTTCTTGGTAAACTGACAACAGAGCCACAGCCAGGAGCCCAGGTTTACAGGATCCTCATGTTCACCTTCGTCCGTCGACTCAACTGTGATCTCTGCTAACTCAGCCCCATGAGGCAGAGTAGGGATGGGGCAGCACCCTCCATCCCAGTGGCTAGCGTAGGGCAGGGTCTGAACCAGCTGTTTTCCTACACGAGCAAGAGAGTGACAGCAACAAGCGTCTCTCCAGATGTGAAACAAGCACACGGCAGTTGGTCGTGTGCTTGTTTCACATCTGGAGAGACTTTGGGCCATGAAACAGGGTGAAGACAGTAGTTGTAGGGTTAAAGTTGCCAAGGGCTGAACTCTGTAAAACTGCTTAGCCCGAGCACATCTGGATCTTTCCTGAGATCTAGATCCCTTAAAAGTTACATTTTCCAGGGTAAATAAAATAAATAAAACCTGCCAAGTTATGCACTGAACGGGACAGTCCTCGGGATATTTCCATGCACCTAAGAGAGGCCTCCTAAGTTATATTTGGCTTTCTGCATACTCAGGAAAAAAATTGTATGTCATCAATGGATACATGAAAATCTTAAACCGTGTTCAAAAGACATTATAAGCATTTGGTGTGTCAGATCCTATTCAGGGCATCAGAGGAGCAGCTCTGTCGAGGCTCTGTGTTTCAGGCATCATCTGGGCCAGGTCAGCACAGGTGACTTTGTGAAGAAGAGTCATGATGTCAGGTACATTTTGGAATGCATAAATAACCAAATGAAGTGGGGAGATGGTGGAACTGTGTCAGAACGCCCTAATCAGTGGGAAATCGGTTCTCTTTTAAGCTTAATACAACATAAATAGGAAGTATTATTAATCAAACATACCTACACATGTGTGAACAAATGCATATATACAGATGTCCCTTGTGTTAATGTCTTCCTCAGATATGACATAACTAACTAGGCATGGCGGCATGCCTATAGTTCTAGGGAAGCTGGGGAAGGAAAACTGAAGCTTTGCTCTCAATTCCAAGGTAGCCTGAGCTACATAAGCAAGACCCGATTCAAAACATTAAAACAAGGGGCAGGAGAGATGGCTCAGCAGTTAAGGGCACTGGCTTCTCTTCCAGAGGACCCAGGTTTGATTCTCAGCACCCTCATGGTGGCTCACAACCATCTGTAACTCCAGTTCCAAGTGACCCAGTGCTTTCTTCTGGCCTCTCAGGGCACCAGGCGTGGATGTGGTGCATAGATATGCATGTAGGTAAAATACTCATACACATAAAACAAAATAATAAAACTTAAAAACATTAAAACAAAACAAACAAACAAAAACAGGGAGGGGCGGAGGGAGGAGAGAAGGAAGGAATGAAAGGAAACATAACTGACTTTAGGCCACTTGTATGCTCTGAGCCTGACTTGATTAATTTTGAGAATAGAGATTTCTATTCTCAAAATTACACCCCCCCACCCCCGCATAAGGATGATGAGTATTAAAATCAGTAAGAACAGGGCTGGGGGGATTGCTCAGTTGGTAAAGTGTCTGCCTTCCAAGCATGAGCTGGGTTTGCTCCCCAGGACCCATACAGAAGTGAGGTACCATGGTGGAGACTTTTAATCAAGTGCTTGGGAAGGCAGAGAGATGGTTCCTGGGCTCTATGGACACTCAGACAATGTGACAAGCTCCAGGCAAAATTAAGGTAGATAGCACCTGAGGAATGACACAGAGGCTGTCCTCTGCCCTCTACAAACACACATGTATACAACTGTATACAGCCAACTGCATACATACGCATACCCAAATAAATTCATGAAAATCTGCTATCTCTAAGAAAAGCTTTCCTTGGAGACAGGCAATAAAATGAAGCAGAACACAAGTCTCTGAAGTGTAGAAAAGGCAGAGGGCACACGGGTATGAATGGCCCACCTCACGCAGGTGTGAATGGCCCACCTCAGTTGATGCTTCTGAACATGTTTCCACTTTCTGACTGGGACTGGGACTCCCCATCATTCTGTTACACACAGTCTGCTGCAGGCTGTCCAACCTGACAAGCTCCCCTAAGGCTCTCAGCCTGAGTTCTACCTGCCCTAAGGTGCTCACCTCCCTACCTGCTCTGCTTCCCTGATACTACTGAACAGTCCTCGGAGGGACAAAATACCGTCTTCATCTGTGGAAAGGACTCAAGGAAGGGCTTTCAAACCAGGCTGACATCTTGTTCTCAATGACCACTGTCTAACTTATACCACCTGCCCATTTCTTAATCTCATTGTTATCTTTTGTTTGTGAACTTTTTTGTGATCTCTCTTCACCTCACACTTGTTTTCTCTCCCCCGGAGCCTCTTCCATTGTCATCTTTCAGGATTTTGTCTTTCACCTTCTTGTCCCATTCATTCTGTGCCGTCTCCGGCAACCACAGGGGCAGTTTGAGGATCCAGAATACATTTAAAGGCCTGCAAAATATTTCAATTTTTTTAACATTATAAAAACAAAAACAAAACCTTAGGCCAAATGGAATTTTTAATTTAAGTCACAGAACTATAAAATGTAACTGTAGGTGGATCCTTTGTATTTACAAAAGGACTTTACAGGACCCCAGAGGTTGTGATGAAATCCCATTTTCCTCTCTTCTAAGACCTGGCGACACCTCTGCTTTTCTCTACTCTTTAAAATGAACGATATGACTTCCTTTCTTCAGAGTTATCAACCGCACAATCAAGACCTCACCTTTCTCTGTCCCCATAGCACAACTGCAACCATTACTCTGCTGACACCACCAGCTCCCCATTGCCTTCACAGGGCCGTGAGCATCCTTGGAGCCTGAGCTCATAGGCTTTACCTTTTAGATCTGTCTGTGTTTCATACACAGACTAGTGAGCACCTGGACCAGTAACGGATTGAACACAGACTCCTGAGAGTTTACAGCTGTTCCTCCACACACTCACAAGCCACACTTCAGCAGAAGTCCTTGGGGATGGATGACCCATCCATGAAAAATCCTGATCGGATAGATAGCGAAGTTACCAAACTTGCCCCATACGGATAGGAAGGGGACAATTCAAGGGACACTACTAAGTCTGCTCATCCTTAACAGCCTGTTTGAAAATACAGAAAGTGTCACAATAGTGAGTTCATACAAGTTAGTGTCCAGTGTGTCCCAGCCAGTGAGCTGCCTCGTTTGCTGGAACTCGTGGACAGCGGAACACATAAACAACCGAAGAGAGAGGCCAGCTGCTGCTTGCTTGCCCTCTCAGGGTCTTGGTGCTCTGATGCACTGGAGGCTCATGGTCAGAAGGAGGGACTGTTAACAATGAAGAGAGGACAAGAGCAGAGTCGGGCTCCTGGAACTGTATTTCTCTCAACCTGCCAACTTTTCTGGAGTCCTGTTTTCTGAGATCATGGTGGTCATTTTTAGTTACTCATTATTGTAGTGGGATACAATTTAGAAGTCTCACATGTAATGGAGAGAGAGAGAGAGATCATGACTGGAAAGAATCCTAAATGGGGATGCTGAGCCGTTGAACCTACACAAACATCCTAATAGGCAGGTAATTCCAGAGCTCCAAGGAGAGAGCTGGACATTCAGTATATCAGGGCCCTCATAACTGTGTGTCTGTTGGAAAAAAAAAAAAAAAACAGCAGTGACTTCAGAAAATTTGATTTGGAAGGAAAAAAAAAAGAAAGTGCTGTTTTCTCCTCTAGGAACTTCAGTTCTCATAGCCTCTTTTGTTGCTGTAAAATTATATTCATTAACAAAGCCCTAGGGAAGGCTCCCATCTCCGAGGAGCAGCTCCAAGTCACGCTGAGGAATGAGCATCACTGATCCAAGGTTTTGCACAATCCCAGGACCTCAAAAAGTTGAGAAATAAAGCAGTACATCCAGCATGGTGTGGACTTTGCAGGGACGCCGCTCCAATCCAGCAGCGTGTACCATGATGAGAAAGGACCTGGGTCCCCTCAGCTCTCCCGCCACTAGAAATATAAGGCAGCCTTCAAGAACAAGGCTTAAAGTCAAAATTTAAAAAATGAAAGTAAGTGTGGATCCCCTTCTTATCCCTGCAACTAAACCCTATAAAGGTCTTTGTTCTTTTCTTCACTTTCCAGACTTTATCAACCCCCGTGTATCAGACAGGATGACAACTTGAGGGAAATAAATCTATGCAAAACAGTCCGTATTGGCCTCATCCCTAGAGACTTGCATGGTATAACTTTTGCAGATGAACTTGTACAAGGTGGGTTGTCTGCTAGAGGTGACTGGGAGTCAAATTCTCCTTCACAGCCCACAGGGGGATGAATTAAAATAGTGCCTCCAAGAGACTGGAACTCCCACCACTGCCCGGAAGCAAACTGCCCCTGTCTTCTTTGCATGGTCCTAAGCACTGAAATGCCTCTGCCTGCAGCTGGAAAGACTAGTCTGACTCGGACCCTTGCCGCTCAGCCAGCCACGCTGTGGTCACGGTCCTTCCCAGGGACGGTAGGGTCCGCTTTGCTGCTGGCCAGAGGTGAGTTGCTGGAGGGCCTTGTGCATCTATCAGTCTAAAGACTTAAATTTGAAGATTGAGCCTTTGCTTCTCTATTAAATAATTAATTGATTGTCTGGGCAAAGATGAAGAGTTCCAAGCATACTGACAAGGCAAAGTCAGTCATGGCCCCAGAAAAGGTTGCCTCCAATAGTGAGCAATTTCTTCTAGGCTTTCCCAACTCCCCGGTGTGTTTTCAAACACTAGGTAAAGTCACCATCTATAACTAGCTGGGAATTAAATCATGTCTATGCTATTGTACTAGTGCTGTGGTAAACGCTCATTGGCTGAGGGCCGTGTTTGGGGAGGTAACAATGCCCTGGGTATAATGAATAATGGCCAGAGTCCTCACATACATACACGAACCCCGGAAGAGATCTTGGCTCAGTATCAAAGGCTGGGACTTGATGGAATAATGGCACGGAAATCTGAGGCCACATTTTTCACACTTAACAAAGAAATAAAACTGACAAGCTCGTGACAGCTAACATGGGCCATCTTGTCCCACAAGAATGGCTTTCCCTCATCTGTGTTCACGGTCTCCTATTGATCTTCCTGGCAGAACACACTACGCCCATGAACACGTAAGAAACATTCACTCATGGTGACAACTTCTCTCTGCCTGGGACAATACCCTGCCTGTCTGATGTCACTGGCACGGTGCCACCCAAGTCACAAATGCAAGCAGCAGGTGGGTACTGGGAGCATCAGAAGGAGCATGTGGGACCTCAGGAAAAGCATCCTGCAGGGCCCTGCCCTTCCTGAGTTACTGCTACTGCAGCCTGCCAGGGAGGAGCTGGAGGAAGATGTCTCAGGGGCTTTTACACCAGACAAATTGCAGCTTCACTCAGCTAGGGCATTTAATTAGACTTTCAGAAGATAAGGAATTATTTAAAGAGGGTCTTTTGCAGTGCAAAGAGGCAAGTCTTAGAATCCTTTTTACTTAAAACATGTTATTGGAGGGAGGGGGGGAGTTGGAAAAAACCATTTCTGATTTTTAAAAATTACCAAATAACTTCATAGTTGTGACAGGCATGGGTCTTAGTTTTGATGGGTAATCCTGCTTGAGACTTGTGAAAACTCAGTTTAGAAACACCCGCCCCCCGCCCCCCCTCCCAATTATACATGTGAGCCGGGCTCTATTAGCACAAAAGGCCGCTTGTCTTTTCCAGGTAAATATAAAACGTCCTGTTAGTATCTTTAAACTCTCTGACCACACAACAAAAGCCCTAGACCTTTCCCTCCCGCGGCACCCTAATGAAATCTAACTGGGAAATGATAAGGAGATAAAAATCCCAGGCTCTGAGACTATGCTTTCTAATTGCCAATTTTACCCCTTGCGCTGAGACATTAATCCTTGAAGAATAGAAAGCCAGATTGCCAATAACCCAGCAGAGGAGGGCATGGGAGTGAGAGGAAGGAAACCCACAGGAGTGGGCGGGAAAAACCGCCCTCTATCTCACCCCCACCCCCAAACCCCCAGTGAGTCTGGCCACCAACACTCTTCGAGCCCTGGTGGCTCCTCCTTGTCTCTGGAAGCCAGCCGGGGCTAGCATTGGTATTCAAATTAGGCTGCCAATCTCTGTGGGCAGCTCTCTGTGTAGACTGCCCATCCATCCATGACTTGAAAAATGAAAGTACCGGATCTCTGATCCAGGGCCATCCAGCCAGACCTCAGGCTGCCCAGAATCCACGCCATGGGTTTGTTCACAGGATGCCTTGAGGTTGGGCGGGCGGGGTCGTGTTTTCTCTCCCCCGGGTCCTTCGTTTTATTAAAACAAGAATAGCAAGAAGACAATGAAGCTCCAACAGAGATTTTAAAAAGAAGAGGAAGGGGGCTGTGCGGAGTCAAGCTCGTCATTCAGCGCTGAGCACTGGTTTCTATGGGAACAAGATGGGCTTTGTGCGGGGACTTCCCACTCCCCCGCCCTCGGCGGGACCAGTTCCAGCATCCCAGCATTGTATTTGTGTGGTCAACTTTTCTTCGGTCTTATTCACTCCTCCTGCCCCTGACTATCCCCAGCAACAACACCCATCACCACAGACACGGAAAGAAAAGAGAACTCACAGCCTCTGGGCCGAATTAAGGCACCACACAAAGGTATCCAGGCAACTGGGAGCCAGCGGACTGCCCAGGAGAGCCATGCCCATCATTCTGTTCTCTCTTGCCTCATTTCTTATTCCCTTCCCCAAGCCACCCAGAACTTCAATTCCCGAACTCTTTTCATGCCTAGCACACATCATACTCAGCTTTAAATTACGTTTCCAAGTGTATAAAAACTCGATGGACACATCGGATATTGTTACTTAGAAGTAACAATAAATGATAAACAGTCAGTGTCAATTCAAACTTTAAATGTTTAAAATGCGTATGCCCACATGCATACGCATGAACACATGGGAGAGAGAATGTTCCAGAAGCCATTATGGTACCTTTGATGAATCAGGGAGTTCAGTGTTCAAAGACTGGGGGGTCAAGCAAGCTGTGAAGTCCGACTTCTCTGTTTGGCAAGGTATCTTTAATTTGGTGCTTAAAAAAAAAGAAGAAGAACAAAAAGAAAACAAAACAAAACAACAAACTAATTTATTTTGACTTTTAAATTTTAAAACAGAAATATTTGTGAATGTATTACTCGGAAGCTGCCATGAAAAACATCTCAGCACATTAATTCTTATCATCACTTGACTATCAGGACTTCATTTTATAAAAGAAAATGCATATTCCTAATACTGTGCATAAATCACAACTCAAATATCTAGGGCTATAGATTTCTCAAATTTCAACAATGCCTTTCTTCTAAAACTTAATAAAGGCCTCAGGGTCTAACCCTGGCCAAGCCCCTGATGTTTGTGGGCAAACTTCCAAATCTAAAGACATTTTGCAATTTTATATGTATTTTCTTAGGAGATCTACAATTCATTTTCTTTTGCAGAATAAAAAAAATGTCAATTTTCATCATTTAAATTCAAACTTGCTTTAAAAAAAAAAACAGTTTAACCCATTTATGTGTTACCAAGTTGCAATCTCAGCTTTAAAAGATGTTTTGGGATATATGCCATGAAAGGAGTTATTAAAGATTTAGAGCCAATTCTAGCATTGGTGAGTCAGAAAGACGGGGTCTGTTCATAAAAGCCAGAAACTATCTTTCAATCTCTCTTTCCCTCATTCGTTTATTCATGAGTATCAAGCCACGTGATCGCAGAGTTGGTAAACGTGGCCAGTCTCTGTGGATCTTCTCATCCGTGCCACCTTGTCGGTCGGTTCTGTCTTCTTCCACAGCATCACCTGCAGTCACTCAGAACACCAGCCCTCAAAATCAGAATGAAAACTCTGTTCCTGTGGTCCCTTCCTGGGTGGCCAGTTCATAACCTGCTCCCCTCCTTCCTCCCTCCACTTCCCTCCCCTCCCCTTTTCCCTCCCCTCCACACCAACTTCCCTACACTTACTTCCTTTCACAGCCTAAGTCTTCCCTGTGAGTGTTGTTAACCCTAATTCCCGCTGGGACAGCAGAGGCTATAATAAGGCAGCTGTCGCTTCCCCATGCAGGGCACAGACACAGAGGACAAGGGCCACCATGGTGCTAACCAGGCAGGGCTAGGAGAGAGGACAGAGGAACCCTTCCCGCATGGTCAGCAGGAGACAATGGCCCAGCGCCTTTCCCCAGCAGTCCAGGCTACAACAGCTGCAGTCAAGAGCAGAACAGAGCCTCGGCCCTAGGGTCTTTCTTCTCCACCTCAGAAAGCAGTCCTTTCCAGAAGGTTCTTAAATCTTAGGAACAGCTCATCATGAGCATGATAGGGACAGTCCCGGAAGCAGCCTGGCGCTCCTGAAGGTGGAGCCCACCTCTCGGAGGAGCCTGAAAACCAGGAAATCCAGTGCAAAGGCCGGCGCTGTCAACGGCACAGGTTCCAGAACCACTTAGAATGCAAGCCCACAGGCACACCGGAGAGAACTGTCTAGATTTGGTTAGCCCATGGCCGTGCCTGTGAGGGGTTATTCTTGTTTGGCTAACTGAGTTGGGAAGACCCACCCTAAAATGGGCAACACCATTCTTGGGACTTGGATCCTGAACTGCATAACAGAGCAGCAGCCACCAAAGACCAGCATCCATCTTTGTCTACCTCCTGACTGTGGGTGCCGTGTGACCAGCAGGGCCAGGCTGCTGCTTCTGGGACTTCCTGGGCCGCGGTGGACTCGGACCCTTGAACTGTGAGCCCAAACAAACTCCTCCTCCCTGGAGTTCCTTCTTCCTGGGACGCAGAACGCACAGCAACAGGAAGAGAAAGCCGCATGGCTGCTGGGTCTACGAAGGCACCCCCTTCGGGTCCATGTTCGTCGGACTCTCGTTGCTGTGACAGGACACCTGCTAAGACAACTCAAGAGAAGCGTCCCCCGCGGCTCCTGGGTTCAGAAGCACCAGTTCATGCCCTGTGGCTTCTGCTTTGAGGCCTGCCCACGGTGAGACAGAAGACCACGGTGAAAGGAGAGATTCCAGGACACAGGGAAGCGACTCACCTCACCAAGGTCTGGAAGCAGAGGGAAAAGCGGCAAGGGACTAGGGATAAGCGACATCCTTCGAACGCGTGCCCCCAGGTCCCACTTCCCACCACAAGGCCCTTCCTCCTACAGCCTCGCCGCTGTAGACTCCCCAAAAGATCAGCCCACTGATGATGTCAGCATCTTCGTGACCCAATCGTCTCTCAGTAGTGCCACCAACTGGGAACTAAGCCTTCAATCCATGAGTTTTTGAGAGAAGACGCTTCCTATACAACCTTGACAAGGACCCAGCTCCAACATGACCCCCTCTCGGTTCTGTCATGGAGTCTGCCTTCCATCGCGGCACACACCTCTGCTCGCCTCTGAGCACACTACTTCGCACAATAAAAGTTGATAGAACCGTGTCCTCCTGTGTTGTCTGTTGCTATGAATAAATAAGTAAATAAATAAACAAATAAATAAGTAAATTGATAGATAAATAAGTAAGCAAATAAATAGATGAATAGATAAGTAAATGAATGAATGAATGACTAAATAAATAAATAAAAGCATTGTCTAAAAGCTACTTGGGGAGGAAAGGGTCTCTTTCATCTCACAAGTTACAGTCCACCATCAAGAGAAGCCAAGGCAGGATGGAGCCCAAGCAGGAACCTGCAGGCAGGAGCAGAAGCAGAGACCACAGAGGAGAGCTGCTTCCTAGACTCTTCAAGCCGGTGTGAAAAGACAGCCCCAAACTTCTACTCTCCATGTGTCTCCTCATAGCAGCAGCTGTATTAGTACCTCTTACAGTTCTCTGAGGCTCAGCACCATCTCTCATCTCCAGTGAGAATCTGTGGTTATGGATTTTGTCAGGGAAGCAATCCATTTTCGACCTCAGTGCTAAGGACTCCGTCATAGCAGCTCTGGGTCTTCAGCTGGATGATGAAGACGACATATTTTCAGAGCGATTACAGGTCAGAAGGTGAGCTGCAGAAGCTAAAAACAATGTCGACAGCTGTGCCTTCAGATCTCTAAGACTGGCTTTGCTAATAGTATATGTGACTGTCCAAGGAAGAACAGGTAACCCACGCAGAAGCCCTGACCACTGCCATCTTATGGTGATAGTTCCATGTACGTATTTTTGCACAAAATCTTCCATTAATGAAAATTAGATATTGTTTTTACGAGGTCCTGAAAATCTGTTACTGCCTGAATGCACAGTGTACACACACACACACACACACACACACACACACACACACACACACGGGTTTTAAACAGGCAGCAGATAAGGATCATGGCATGGGGCATCTGTCAGCCATGGCAGACTAGATGGGGAAGATGGGCCCCATGCTGTGTTCAGCTCCAGACCTGGCCTCTCAGATGTCTGTGTTTTGTCCATTGCTGTCAGTTTGTGTGTTTAATCAATCTCCTGATTATTTATGTTTTGCTTGTTGGTTTATTTGTTTGTTTTTTATCTGCAGGGTAGGCTGTAGTTCTACAAACCCTAGCTGATGTCTGCATGCATTAGGGGACATTCTGGAAAATGCCTTTATCTCTAGGCCCCACTCAGACCTACTAAATCAGAATGCCTGGAAGAAGAGTCCCGTAGCAGGGGCAGTCATGACCAATTGTGCAGGTAGCTGACCCTGCAGGGTTCTGAGCTAAGGTTTCGTCTGGGTCAAGTCCAAGTCTGAATTCCATCCTGGCATGTAATTAATATCTAGATGAGGTACCGTAGCAATGAAACCTCCAAGAAACAATTCTTCCCTCCACAGAGTGAGGATTGTAACGCCGACCAGGACTGGTTGGAATACCGGGGAACATGAACATAAATGTACCAGGGCCTGGGACTGTCCCTGGCACTCACTGCAAAATGCCTGCCGATCCTTCTCAGGGGCTTTGTTACAGCTCCCGTTATTGACTGCCTGCAAACCTATTTTTATAACTGACCTCGGAGACTTCCCATGGGGTTCACTGCTTATGTTCCTCTCTCTCACCCCACTCCCAGCCACCGCGGCCTGTTGCCTCTCTTCACACTTGACACACTCAATCTATATGAAGGCTGAGCACCAATGCCTCATTCTCTCGCCTGCCCCCTCCTTTACATCACCAATTTCTCTAAGGCCCCTAGACCAGACGCCCACCTGCCACCACCATAGTGTGTCGTGTTACAGACAGCTGGTGTTGTGGAGCTCTTCTGATGGCACTATCTGTACAGGTTATTTCTTCATTGCTGACTCCTCCCCCACCCCAACTAAAATAAAAGCTGTGCCAACGAACCCCTGGGTGCTTGTGTCTGAGTGACTGCTCTGTCCCCAGTTCCTGAGAGTGAGCAGGTGCTTAAGGAGCATTGGCTGACTAAACAAATAAGCTTGAAAAGCAAATACTGCTCAGGCGTCATAGGTTCATACAGTCAGACCTTAGAT